CGGAAAACGTACAGTCTTCAGTTTTAATAAAGTGACCCCGTTTTTCGATATTGGCTACGAAAATGTGTTTCCTGTTGCACACGCTTCCTCTCCTACACATCCCCGTTTCACACACTCACAGACCCAGTACACCCCAAACCGATCCTCGCGACACTGGCCCCATTTTCTCGTTGGTATTTTTTTTTTTATATTTTTCCATTGTGTATGTGTCTCCTCTTCGTGCCATTAAATTATCCCCTCGGTATCCAATTTAATACCGGGCGGCTTTCCTAAATAAAATTTCAATAAAATATTCAGGAGACAGTTAATACTTATCGCATTCTCTCTCTTTATTTAACTTTCCTTGAGCTTATATTAAGGCTTGAGTGAAAGAAAAAAGGAAGAGAGACACGCACAAAAGTTATTCTATTCGTACGGTTTTAATACAAAATGAAAATATGATGGGAGATGAGATGAGATGAAAAAAAAAACTGTATAGAAAGAAAGTCATAATCATAAGGGCAGAAGGGGAGTGAATTGTTGTTTAACGAGGGCTTTTTCGTGTGTTTTTATCGTATCACATATTAAACAACCGCAACAACGTTGCTGTTGGCTTGCTTTATAGATAACTTGACAGGTGTCAAATGTGACGTTGACGTGTAGTGATAATTAACGTGTTTTGTTTTGTTGATAATCTGTTGTTAAGTGGATGAGCTTATCATTTGTTCATTTCTGTTATGAAATTGATTAATTGACAGGTGTCAAATGTATACACTTATACGAATTTATCCTAATTACGCTCTACTTCTGCAACCAAACGATATAAACGTACGAAACTTGTACATAATTATTTTGACAGATGTTAATGATGAATGTTAAGTGTATTTTATTTCGTTTGCAATACATTCATCAATAATTTGACAGCTGTCATAATTTTACTTGTCACTTGTATTTTCAGGTAGTTTCGTTTCATATGTTTCTTTCTATGTTTCGTTTCAAATATTCATTATAGATGTTTGTTCATTTTAGATATTTGTTCTTATGTTATGTTTTGTTTTGTTGATAATCAGTTGTTAAGTGGATGAGCTAATCATTTGTTTATTTCTGTTATGAAATTGATTAATTGACAGGTGTCAAATGTATACACTTATACGAATTTATCCTAATTACGCTCTACTTATGCAACCAAACGATATAAACGTACGAAACTTGCACATAATTATTTTGACGGATGTTAATGATGAATGTTAAGTGTATTTTATTTCGTTTGCAACACCTTCATCAACAATTTGACAGCTGTCATTGGTATTATCGTTACGATGAAACAATGACAGCTGTCATAATTTTACTTGTCACTTGTATTTTCAGGTAGTTTCGTTTCA